TTGTGTCGTGTTGATATGTGTGACAAATGTGTCCCTTTTTCTTTCCTAGCTCTTAAAAATTATCCTTATCCAGCAATGATTGAGTACACTACTCTCCTTCTTGCTAAGGGCCACGCAATCTTCTACTCATTCTTACAAATCGAGTATTGCAACAGCAAGATTAAATTACATTTTTACAAAGTAGGGCTATCTGAACTTTCCTCCTCCGTTGTCCTTACAAACAACGACGATGTATTTCAATCACCAGCAACTTCTTTGGGGGTAGTTGTAGTCATTTACCTCTCCCCACTTTCCGAGCCCCAAGGAACTCCAATTCGAAGGGCTCTACAAAACGTGAGCTAGCATTTGATCAACTAGTCACATTGTAGATGGCAGTATTTCCCTTCATTTAACCATAGCAGAAGTAGCAGCGACAGCGACGCCCAAAAATAATCGTTGCGGCATAAAATGTCATCTTAAGAGTAGCAAACTCCTAATAAAGATATTAGAGGAGCTATTGTATCATTTGCGATACCAGAAAGATAGGATGAGGATAATTGGCTTGAAACAGTGCCTAAAAAGCTCTATAAGAACCCTGGAGGTGGCCTTCTCATCTTAAGCATTTTAAAGGCCTCCAATTTTCAGCCTCGTAGTTATGTACCCAAGAAATGAAGGGATGTGAGGTTAAAAAAGCATGTACACTTTCTATGTTATCAAAAGTTGGTACTTAAGAAAAACAAAATTCATAAGTGATCATATCTTCTCCCGTCAGACTTGAGTACTTCTTGTTCAAACACTATTTTTATTGGCTTTTATAACTTAGTCGTACCTGTGAATATTTGTCATCCTACAGATAATGCTTCAAATTATTGAATAAATGCACTTGTAGATACGAATTTGGTTAATCACAAAACGGGCTACAATGTTTGTTCCTACTAGCATCGACCTAGACTTCTGGTACAACTGCATTCAATCCTACAAAAACTTTGTACAAGAATTATTTAAAGATTCTATAACCTGCAATCCCACGTCACCAATCATGCAAAAATGCGATCGTACCTACAATTGGTGCTTTGGTAGCTGACTTATAGCTCGGAACACATGACAATTGGAGATAATGAAGTTTAGAGAAAAAAAACGGTTTAATTCCTACGATATTTAAATTATATTACCCGTGTAAAAAACATTATTGAATGGGAAAAAAGTGTCTGAGTGTACTAAACTAGTGAATGCAGAAATGAGGATTCTTTGCGCGGTGGCATCTATATAATGAGCATCTGAAGTACCATTCGAGTGAGTTTTCAAGGCAATAGAGACTCGTACCTAAACACTAAAGGACAGAAATTATTATTGAGCTAAAAATTCCAAACTTACGAAAATTTATACGAGAAACTAATACAATTTTGTCATTACTTTCTTTAACGCTCAATCAAGTATGTAAGTGACTGACCGATTTCAAGTGAAATGGTCAATAAAACGGGGAAACGACCTAGTCTCTTATCCAAAGTGACCGAAAGTGACCGAAAGTGGACTTTAAATAGATAGAGTCATGTATGGCAAATGTAATTAATGTGATTTAAATACGAATGTTATCAAGAACTCAATGTTGCTTTTTGCCCCAATTTTATATTGTCTGACATTGTATGTGGGCTACTGATATTTGATGTAGACTACCCAGTAGCTCTTTTCAATACCCTTATCTTCTGTCTCAGCCGACTGATGCTGAAAAGTCGAGCTTTATTTGCATCAAATTAGGAATCGTTTCCTTAGTTCAAAAACAATAAAACTGGTTTACTTGTTTTTATAAACGCAATTTATCAGTGCATGCAAAGGTTCAGTAAGGTCAAATTTCAGCTACCTAAGACCGCCTAAAAGAATTGTAGATCAGCTACATCTAGAGAGATGGGTATTAGAGCCGGTGGTAATGCTTGTAGCTTGACCGAGGTCGAAGCACAACAGTTTAAGGAGATTGATGGACAACAGAAGTGTTTTAGAGGAACATTGTTTAATGTTGCGTCGGGTGGGGTGCACTAAAGAAGATAAATTTAAAATTGTTTGTAACTGCAACGACTACAACTATCGTGGCTAACGCAGTTGCCCATTTGAGCTTTTTGGCCGATGGTTAAAAAGCGAATACCTTGACCATGTAAACAGTGTTTTTAATGATGATGAAAGCAGGAGCTGATCTAAGGCGTTGCTTAGGAGGGAGGTGCCAAAAGTCTTAAACCATTGAACCGTTCGACGTCTGCTCGACATAACTTAATTTATTTTTGTGGACGGTCAATCGTCTACATGATAATCATTATGGTCGATAAGGCATTATGCATAAGTATCTATGGTTATCAACATGTTTAACTATTGACGATGTATTGATGGTGGTCATTGATATTTTGTGATACGTCTAAAAAGAAAATGACACGAAAAAATATGCAAAGGAAGTAAGATGCGCGATAACGAAGTGTGGGGTAATTAATGGAGCTGCTAGAAGCCGTATTGTCGTTATTGTAGTATGGACATCTCTACAGCCATATACTCTGATATTTCGACCAATCATGTCATTTAGATAATAAAAGTAAAATTGTCAACTTTGTCGTATGAAAAGCAAAACTTTCCTGTAGTTTGATGTGCTTGTACGCAACTGGCTGCACCAATAGCAGCTGCTACAACAGAAACAGCAGCGACATCAACAACAACAAGCAAACTCTTATGGCAAAGCAATCTATAGTCAACTACGCAGCATCAAAAAATATCAATTACTTCGCATTTGTCCAGCATGATACTGATGATCTTGTCAGCTTCTTCGCATGAAACACTTGACTGCGGTGACTTGAAGTGCTCGTATGGTAGGGTCTGCTGCTTAATTCGGCAAGTGCACTCAGGCCTGTTTTATAGATACGCAGTATACGCACTAAGAACTGCAACTGCAACAACAGCAATATAAGCACTTAGTAGTACAAATTTTTTCAAGCTTCAAGAATAAAGCCGTTAGATATTTTGCGCAAGGTTGATGTGTAATGAAGCAATTTGAGGAAATTAGAAGTGATCGATAGGTTGATAAATCAAAAACGACGACCAGTCGATGAGACGGATCGATTGGCTGTTTAGCTGCAAAATATTGAAATCGAATGGCAAGAAGCCAAGATTGATTATATTGATATCACGATCGAGAATATATAGATTGAATAAAGTTGACAATATGGTAGGAGATCTATAGTGATCAACGGGCATTTAAGGTGATCATTGATCAAGGCGGTGGACGATGAGAGTAATTGACGATAAATCGAGGTGATCGACGAACAGGGTGATAGACTATCAATCTTGATGATCCTCGATTTAGGTGTACGAAGATCAAAATGATCGAAGATCGATAATCGACGATCCATCTGGGTAATCTGTCGATCGGGGTGCAAGACGGCCAGAGTGATCGACAGTCAATGAGGAGTGGCCCACATATACGAAGGAACGAACTACAGAATGCGAAAGACACGTAATAGCATACCTTGTAAACATACAGGAAGAACGGTATTTTGATTTAATTTGGGAAACTTCAAGCGTAAATTGTTTTGTTATAAGTACACGCGTCAACTTCTCTTTCGAGCTACAAATTTGGCCTCTCGAAGCCAAAGAGTATCATAAACTGAAAATAAGTCAAATTATCTGATAATTGGCTAAGAGTGAGAATTATTATTAAAAAAGCCCAACTGCAATTGGACGCAGCAAGAACGTAAAGGAATAGTTGCAAGACCATTAGACGTCTCAAGTGGGCAGAAAATTTGCGTTTCAAGCATCTACATATTTGACAAGGCGATCTCGTTAAGATCTGGATGACACAAATTACTTATTTAACCAGCATACCTGCGATCGTGTAGAGATTTCCACACGATCACACCGACCCAAACCCAACACGGTCGAGTATTATCTTGACACGAGTCTACCCAGAAGAGTGCAGCCCGCCCTACCGACGGGTATAAAAGGTGAGGAAGGTTACAGCTACACGGAATCGGAGTACCCCCTCTCTTAGTACGTCGTCTGAGCGTTAGTAGAGATGTGGCGTCAACTCATAAAATGAGCAATCGCCACTCCACCACAATGGTGCGCGTGCCCATATATACTTATTATGTTAAGCTTTCAAATGTGGGTCCTGGGTTGAAGAAGGATTTTTAATGAAAGAATTTTGAACAAAAGACTCGATAGGCACAGGGATTCCGCAGAATCGTGATTATCTAAGAATTCCAGATATTTAGAGTTTTGGGAGAGTCTTTCATGACCATTAAAAAAGAAGAATGTAGATTGACCTCAAAGAGAAACTTCAACCCCTTCCTGAGTTAAATTCGAAGAAGACCACAAATCGTGCCGCAAAGCCCGATCGGCTAAAAAACAGTTAAGTAAAACTTAAGACTTATCACCCACCACCACATAAGCAACGTCAAAGACGAAGGAATTGTTGCCAGCACGAGTGATGAAGAAGCGCCAAGATTACATAATTTTGATCGTAGCTCAAAATCGATAAATTGGCCGGTCAAGTTCGTGGACGACAATATGTAGGTGGAAGTCTGGCAGCCGGATCAGTTGGAGAAGAAATATCACCGGAAGACACATGAAAATTTTACATGTAGCAAATATATGCTCCGAAATAGAAAGTCAAAGCTGATCGGAGAAATTTGAAAACCAATAACCCCACTGGCAGGAGCGTCTTATACTCTGACCGATCCGAATGGGGTTTACGGACGCTGCATGAAGCGATCTTTGTCGTCGGAGTGTTCAATGGACACAAATTACTGGAGTGCGATGAAGATCAGGGGAATCCGCGCCTATAGATTGCCATGTATAAGTTTACCTCCTGACAGGCAGGGCTAATCCAAGCGAAAAAAGCGATTGAGTGATTAATCTATCGGCATTCAAAGGATGTTTCTAGGCCCGATTAGGTCGCAAACCTGCGCAATAGGATCAAAGACGTAGAAGCACTTGTCCGATGGATGCCCTTTGCGACCGCACTTCTGGCACGTTTATCTCTACCAGTATCAATGATCATCATGTCGCGTTGATCCGCAGTGGGTGCATGCCTTCGATTTTCCACCTCGATCACGTCTATCTTCTTCACTAGTATTCTTCTGCCAGGTACGATGATCTTGATCCGATATCTCTTGACCAGATGTAGTGGTCACACAAACTCGGCGGCGATCCTTGTCTTCATCCGATCCAATCGAGTCCAATTCTGATTCGCTACTTTCGATCCGCTCACGGATTGCCCTCACCGCCCGAGCAGTCTTGGATGACGTAGGATTTGGGGAGGCATTCGCTCGCTGGTAAAACTTGTTCGATCCTGTCGACGTCTCTGACTGACGACTCTCAATGCTTTTGCATGCACGCAACGTCTCATCCAGCACATTGACATAGGCCAATCGTAGTAGGGTCATCTGCTTGGCCAGATCGCGATCGTCCAACGTGGCAATGTAATGTTCCACATGTTCACGACGCGTACTCGATGTTGCCATCCTCTCGTCTCTGATAGCGATCTTGTCATGCTTAGCCGCGACATTTGGGCGGTGTAGATACTCCTGTGCATTTCATCCGATCGTTTCCGTGCAAGATAGTATTGTCTGGCCAGAGACACACCTTGTTCTCCATACTTAACCAATAAACTCAACCATAAATCTCTTCCACTTCTTTCGAGTGGATCGACCTAATTGGCTATACCAGTTTCGAGCGGGTCCTGTCAGCAGATCTCCGACACCAAACACTTCTCCTTATCGGGTGCTTGATCGCGCAAGAACCGGATTTGACCTTGCTGATACAGCTTCTGGCCCGATCTTCATCTCGATCCTTGCCACTAAAATCTTCTAGCTCTGTCATCGCCGAAACTCGAATGCGTTGGGGTATGCTACCACCATCTTGCAAAGTCTCGGTCGTAGATAACATAGCGTGTCTACGATCTTCTTGTCCCGAATCATAGGGATCGATGTCGTCAGGGTCGAAAACCTCCGGTTGACTGATGCGCGACAGCACCGATTCCATCTCCACATCAGGGATATATATTTCACGGGATCTAGCAGGCTCGATCCTTTGGCTAGGGTAGATCGCTTAATACGCTCGTTCCCGTTGATCTTTGCGGAACCGTTCCATGGCCTCATCGAGGTATGTCTGCAGGAGTCCTTGCGTAGTAGTCATCATCTGCTCTTTAGCACCCGTGGCCTTAGATCGCGAGTTCAGTTTCACCGAATCGACTTGATCGCATACATAGGTTGCACCACTTTGACATAGAGACATTCGCTGGATGCCGACGAAATCTTCCAACTCCATCTCTGATTCCGCCGAGGCGTGTTGTGACGATCCGGTATGATACCCCCTCGGGACATTGGCGATCGTGGCAACCGCTTGGTCCGCGGATTTGCGCTTTCCCGTCATGAAAATAATCTTTTCCTACAGCGATCGACACGCATGGATCACCTGATCCTGATCGCATTCCAGCAATTTGTTCGCATTGACCGCCTTAGCGAAGTATTCAGCATCTTGCAGCTGGATGACCGCGCTCATCCCTTCTACTGCGTTAGTCGCCACCTTCGGTCGGGATATGGGGCTTTGAATTTCTCCAATTAGCTTGGGCTTGAGTATCCTTAGCACGGGGTCGCTCGATAGCAGATTCCTGAGCGCCTTTCAATGGAAGCCCTGCGCATATATATAGTTGATCCAGCTGCCATACATCCATCTTCATATCCAGAGCCTCGTCCACGAACTTGATCGGTCTCACGATCGATTTTTGCTGCGATCGTGTCGATCCGATCTGGGCTCTTCTTTCTTCACTAGATCTGTCTTTTTAGTCTTCTTCTTCGACATTACCTAAGTGGTCTTGTGTAGTTTTTGTTCAGTTTTCGCTGAAGGGTCTTCACCCAGCGGATCGTGTTTTGCAGAACGATCCGCGGTGTCCCCAAAGGGACCTCAGGAGGGATTTAAGGTCTATCTTCCATATCGATCGGTTGATCATCCTCCTTTATTTCCTTGTCATCAGAGCCCCTCTTAAAACTCCGATAATCCGGAGATACTTTAAAATCACACGTCGGAGGCGATCCCTTTGCCTCAAACGCTTCCATCCTAGGTTCAGGCTTGGCTTTCACTTCTTCACTTAGGGACTCACGGTAAAATCCCGAGTCACCAAAAGATCCGGGCACGCGCACCATTGTGGCGATCGCTGATTTTATGAGTCGATATCAACTCTCCACTGTCGCATGGACGACCGATAAACGGAGGGGGTACTCCGATGTCGTGTGTGTTGCCTTCCTCACCTTGTGTACCCGTCGGTAGGGCGTGTTGCACTCTTCCAGGTGGACTCGTGTCGAAGGAAAACTTGACCGTGTTGGGGATGGAGCGTGTGATCGTGCGGAAATCTTCATGCGATCAAGGGGTACTTGTGGGTACTGATATAAGTTACCCTGATCGAACCGAGATCGCCTTGTCCACTATGTGGTTGCTTGATCCGCGAGCCATCTGACCACTTGAGCCGTCTCGCGATCTTGCGCCTTGCTTTTACGTGTTTTGCTGCGCCTGATCACAATTGATTTTGCTTGAGAATTCTTGAATACACCTGGACAAAACAATCCAGGTGTGATACTTGCGTAGACGTGTAGCGCGACTCTTTATTCGACGGGGGGCCAAATATCCTACCCGGAAGAGATAACGCGTGCCTTGTGAAGTAAGTTGAACTCTGTTTAATGTTAACCATACAATCTAAACCCTACCCCTTTGCCTACCCGTATATCCTAACCAGATGCCACGCGTCGCCTTTCCAGGAAGATCGTCCCCTCGCAATTGTGTGGTCCACACCCAGTATATCAGCAGTTGTACCTTCTTGTGGCCCACTCAAGATATCCCCATGATCCTGATAGCGGATCGTGATCTTACTAGTGGATCGTGATCCTACTAGCGGATCGTGATCCTACTAGAATCGTGATCCTACTGGCGGATCGTGATATTACTAGTGGATCGTGATCTTACTAGGATCGTGATCCTGCTAGCGGATCGTGAACCAACTCGTGGATCATGATCCTACTAGCGGATCGTGATCCTATTAGTGAATCGTGCGTGAGCCTACTAGCGGATCGTGATCCTACCAGCCGATCGTGATCTTTACTAGCGGATCGTGATCCTACCAGCGAATAGTGATCTTACTAGCGGATCGTGATCCTACAAGTGATTCGTGATCCTACTAGCGGATCGTGATTCTACTAGCGGATCGTGATTCTACTAGCAAATCGTGATCCTACTAGTGGATCGTGATCCTACTAACGGATCGTGATGCTACTAGCGGATCGTGATCCTACTGGCGGATCGCAGCTGTGACCGGACTGGTGATCCTGGGTTAGGATCGCGGTCTTCCAGTGAGATTAAGGGTCTTGTATTGCCATGTCTCACAATGGATTGCGTAATCAAAACGGGTATGACCACCCTTTAGCCTCGTCCCAGGCTGTACGATCCTGTCAACTTAGGGTTTGGGTACGCTATTGCCCGCCACCCGTCCCGGCCTGTATCCACCAATCATAGCATTCTTGGCTTATCTGGGGCGTGCGATCCATGCGATCGCCGATCCAAGTAATATTAGGAACTTCCTTGTGACCGCTTTGCTACAGAGCCATTTACGCAATTTCCTTTGGTTTGACGGAATTGCTCGGTTAACAATCGACTTTACGTTAGCGAGATCCGCTCGAAGGACACTCTTCCCAAAGAGCACTCGAGAACAGAAATTTCTTTAGCACCAAAAAAGCATTCGGATGCATTCGCAAACAGCTTGTTCGTGCGCATGCACTCGATCAATGCTCGTAAATAATCATTTTGATTGTCCACATCTGAGATGCCATGTTGTGCACGGCTATGAAAAAATGAAAACATCGAAATAGCTCTGTACATATTCTCGGTGAGACGGAACAATTGCGTCACAAAACGCTTAGAAGTAGCCAGGACATTAGACAGCCCTAATTGCATAACAAGCCACTCCCAAAGCATACTGCTTAAGGAAATAACCGCTATGAACGGAACATCGCTCTCTCGCATGAGCACTCGATAATACTCATCGACCAAATTGAGTGTACTGAACATATACAAACCTACCATGGCGTTCTGAAGAACGTCATTTCAATCAATAGGTATCTGTGCCGGTAAAGTGGCTGCGTTAAGCTTATTGTAAGCATGTACAATGCACAACTTGCCATTTGGCTATCTGACACAAGCTTTTGGCGTCGAATGCGGGTACTTGCTCTCATGCACCAAGCCAGCCGCGTGCTCTGCACGAAAAAACTCATTAATGACGTCACACTCCTCCTTTGGTAAATGCCATTGTCGTGTCATACAGTATTTGGCTCCAGAAACCAGGATAATTTCGTGACGTACGCCTCGATCAGGAGCCAGAGTGAAGGTGGATCGTGACAAACCACATCCTGAAATTCCTTAAATAAAGAAATAAACGGGTTTTTTCGGATCTTTTAAGATCGGTGACCCACTTCGAGCACTCAGTGCCGCATTTGTGTCCTTCAAGACAGCCTCGTCAGAAATTGACGACGAGTTCAAATCACTATCGGGTCTAATGACCACCACTTCAAATAAGTCACCCGACTTCAAGGTCAGGCCAAACTCATCGACAGACATTTCTTCTAGCTGTAACAGAATATACAGTGAGGTTAGAGTCTTAAGACTCACTGAACTATCAACGTCACCAAGTCACTTTATAAACGAGTGTATATAGCTCCTCGCTAGTATCACTCAGTGACGTAAGAGAGGCCTTTCGCTGCATGACATCACTATGACGTAGCTGTCGTCTCTGTGACGAGACTGAATGTCTCAAGAGACTGAAACATTCTTGTTTCCAAGGTTGATTGCATCACCATCCTTAACTTGCTCTGTACAAGAGCCAATGTCATCACCGACACCCGGTCCACCAATGTCCATGTTTCCAACATGACCGCCGACCTTGAGCTGCTCGTTACCAGAGCCGATATGATTATCTACATCCGGGACTGTACCGGCCCAAGGTGACGGAGTGCGTCAAACTTAATTTTCCCTATATCAGGGCAGATATCATTACCGACATCCGGGACGACACTGTCCCAAGGGTCATGAACGGCGTTAATCTTAATTTTATTCAATAGCAGGATCGATGTCATTGCCGGCCATCAAATCTACACTGTCCCCAAAGTGACAAACTGTGTCAACTTTATTTTGATCCAGATCCAACCCAGTGTCGTTATCTACATCTGGTGATGAGTCATTTCCAGTGAGATCACCACCCAGTGGGTACTTACGTGCCACTCCACGCCCATTAAATGAGCGTCGCCCTTCATGACTTGATGTTTCGCCTACAATGTCTTGACTGACATTCATTGTGTCGCAATCACGGCCAGCATCACTCAATGGGTACTGACGTGCTACTCCACGCTCACCAGATGGTTTCAACCCATATTGACTTCGCTCCAGGCCAACAATACGTTCAGCATATAGTGATTCGTTATCACAAAGATTACCACTCGACGGAGTACGTGCCGTTTCACTAGCAGTTTATGATCCTGGGTCGCAACTATTACTTTTGACATAGTCCAGCTCAGTGAGTTCAGACATACCGATGCCCAGCTCAATGACTGTTTTATCCCGTGGCTAGTGGCATTTGCTCCTCTGTTTCGTTGCAAAGAAGGGCTCATAGCTCTTTAGCTTTTCACTAGGAATAGTGCGCGTTGCGCCTAAGGTCTTTGACCTATAATCGATCCATGGATCATGGCGTTCTAGCCAAGGCATACCAAAGATAAGATCATACTTCTCAGGGAAAAGACAGCGTTCGATACTGTTAAAGTCCGAAAACTTCACGCCTAATCACAGGAACTTTGGGGACCGTGACTAATGCACCTGTCGCCAAGCAAACAGTGATAGTCTAATTCTTCAGTGCTTTTAGCGCCTCAGCATAATTTTGACTACGTTCCAGGGAATAACGTCGGACGTAATTTCCTTACGTCCAGGAGTAGGTCAATACTGACCATGGCTTACTGAAGTTATTTACTGTTGCTTTCGCAATCAACAAGACTGGCCTGTATGCATGCTTCGTGACATCGCGCACGAAGTCACTTGGGACTAGGCCCTGTTCTTTAACACCTCCCAGAGGTACAACAGATCCCAAATCCTCCCCAGCAGGGCGCCTCACGCCTACTGAGACTCGACCTTTTTCATCGCGCTTTGCCGACTCGTTAATTAGCGACGGTTGGTTGGCTCGAATGATCTTTACTGGCCCTTACTACAAGTGGGACAAAGATGTTTGATGCTCCCGCACGTAAAGTATCTACGGATGTCCGAACGCTATTCGACAGCGTAAAGCTCAACTTATTCGTCTCTCTCAGCAAAACTTAGGTCCATTGGCTCTGCCCCATCCATGAGATGAGCATTTCTTGACGAGTTCGATTGGAGCAGATAATCTCTGTAGCGGGCATCATTAAAGTTGAACTTTGCGTTCAATGCTATGTCCACTGCACCCTCAAATATCAAGAGTTGCGTACGAAACACTTCTGTTCTGGCAACGCCAGTGCGAAGACTTTCCATAAGAATTGTTTTCAAAACCGTCTTAGGTAAAGGGTCAAGCTGCATTGCAGCAATAAATGTCCGCAGCTTGTGGACATAATCGACTAAGTCCTTTTTACCCTGGCGGGTTGACAGGAAGCGTGATCGCATGAAATATGCTTGATTAAGCGGAGCAAACACCTGAGATAGCTGCTGTTTGATCATGTCCCAGGTGGCAAAAGCCTCTTCTTTCAAGTAGCCAGAAGTAAGCGCCCACTTCCTGGATCTGCCGCCTAACTTTGATAGGGACAGGACTACCTTCTGCTACTCTAACCGCAGCAGGGCCGAGCTGATAGCAACCTCGATATCGCGAACCCACAAAAGGTGAGTTTCTCCCTCTTTCCCCTCTAAAGTCTTGACACGTGAGACTAGATGGCGAGTGCTTGACTCTGTGTCCGGTATTTGAACATGCCTAGTGGGCATGGTAGATCCTAAATGGTCATGGACCTGTCCTATCAATGTGGACTCAAAGTTCGAGAAGGCCTTGAGACGTGCATGAAGTTCATCCGGGCCTTGCGACACTATAAGAGCCACTTGCTCGTGCCCGATCAATGCCGTAAGCTTCTCAAGCGTGATCTGCTGGGCCTCAGAGAGTTTAATGGCCGTTTCCTTCTTCGTAGAGGATTCCGTCTGTCAAAACTCGGGTGTAAATTGACTGCAGGTGCTGCCAAGTGTAGCGGAGCTACTTAGCGCTTCTTAACAGGGGAAGTCTTAGGCTTAAAGGGTCTCTCAGTTATAATAAACTAATAACGACGTACAGTAGTTCAAGTTCACAAGCTTATTAATCCCGGTTCCGAATGGATTACGATTCACAGAATCACAAACTTGCTATTCACTACTAGTTGTACAGGAGCAAGCGCCTTCACAAGGCTAATGCTCTTGACAACACGCTGTGCCTTGACTAGCCACTAGCGTCCAGCGATTCAAAAGGGGAACTGAACATTATTTGTTCTTTTAGCTACGGTGATAAAACCTTAAAACCTTGTCTGACTGACTTCTACATTACGATCTTATGCCAGAAGTCAGATCCCTTATCCTTGTCCGATAAGGTGCGATATTACCGTAAGTACGTGGCACCAAGACTGTACCACTCAGATCCACCAATCTCAACTTGGTGTGGACACACAACATATATGGTATGGAAGGTCGCGGGTAACTCCGTTACAGCTAAGTCCGAAAAGTGTAAAGTGACGTGCAAGTCATCTGAAGGAAGGTGTGAGCCAAGTTGAGTCGATACAACATTGCGCGTCGGAACTTACGCACGCGGTCGCCTTGTTCTGTATCTGAACCAGAAGACGGTACAAGACCACCAGAGCTGCAGATCGCCACTAGATCTCTAAAAGACAGGAATTGCAGTAACTCCGTATGGACGGCCATACACATCAGTAACACAAAAGCTTGTGATCTGCCGCGCCCTCACAGACAGGCGCAGTAGACGATGGAGTGATGGACTGGAACAGAAGCAGTAGCATTTCTCCTACTTAGACTAGCAACGATACCGTCCTGATAGGACACTTTTTCCGGCCACTTTCTTCAGTGATTCATTTGTGCATTACATGTGCGTATCTTGCACTCGAGTTGTTGTCCAATCTTAGCGTTTGAAGCCAGACAATTTTTGAGGCTACATCCGTGCAAAGACTAAAAATAAATAATCTAGCAGAAATATGTACGACCTCGCTACAGCACTTGCGATTCCTCTTGGTCTCGGCGGACACATGCCGACTATAAACAGGACACAAACATGCATAGCGGGAGTAGCACATTGACCGATGCGTACGATCGTTGAGCCTGAAGTCGCTAGCCTCCGACACACTTGGTAAAACCGCCCAACACAGAGCTGCCCAACGTGCGCATGACGAATGAGAGGACAGCAGGAGGGCATGGTATGTTGTTTTTAGCTGTAACCTTCCAGACGCACCGATTCGAGGCTCCTGGACCGTGGTATACGAAAGGTTTTCAGGAGGTGAACTGCGTACCGGACACTCCGAGTTTTTCGCAAGAGTCCGAATCGTGTGCCCGTGCGTCCGAATCGTGTCATATCATAGATGACTCGTCTGTAGTCTTGCCATAATCTCACGCCTGTTTGCCTCGCTTCGAGTTCAGTTCGGTATGGCGCCAGTAACCTCGAACTTTATGCGAATGGCGGCTTTGGTCTCGTCTGCTCTGCTTTTCTGGCCGGTTGGCAAGTAAGCTTGACATATTTACCGACCATGGCGGCTATTTCGTTTTACTCTGCAATGTACCGTGTTAGATGCTAGTAACGCCAAATGCAACGGCCGTAGCAAAAATAGACGCTCGATGATCCCAGGTTGTTGGTCGTGCGATACTGAATCGGCGCATCAAAATGCGAAAAGATAAACCTTCTTCTCTCGACGCGATGTGAGACCTGGCGAGTAGGCGAGTGTACTACCCAGCAACGGCGTTACATCCTTTGCACACAGTTCTCTAAGCCTACTTCGGTATACGATAATGCGCGGCAGCACCCGTCGTTGTAGTGGCATGTATTAAAAAAACGCGCTCAGACTGATCATCACGGTGAAACGTATTCAGTGCTTGGCATCGACGAGAGGTTAGACTCGCGTTACATTTGCGTGACGATGGTTCATAATAATTCATATTGGCAGCACATTGCTCTTCGATGTACCGACTACGCTTACAGTTGGTCTTTACGTGCGGATAAACTGCGGTCCATTTAATTTCGACTCTTCAAAAGAAGTCACTGCCCTGATTCGGACTGACAGTGTCTCCTACCACTCTCGTGTTTGCGACGACCTTCGGGTGAAACGTCCTCGGAACTGGACGCCTCGTCACTGCATCCTGACATGAGGGACGTGGATGAATCCCGGGTGCTCTGGTCTGAGCCGCGCTCGCACATCGTCATGATGGCATCCGGCAGCTTGATGTTGTCACCGACAATAAAAGTCGTGAACGCATGACATACGCTGTGTACCAGTACGTTGCAACCTTGGTTGCCTCGGTTGACTAGTGACGCCTGGATCATTCTCAGTAGTCGAGTAAGAGCGAGACGCCGCGCCTCAACTAGACGTGAAGAGTAGATGGGCAGCAAATTTGGTTTTGGAAAGTGGTTCTTCACCACGGCGTGGATCCACTTGCACTCAGCAGGACATACGTGCCCACGTTGCAGCTTCTGTAGTAGCTGCTTGCGAAAGAGACGGTAGGCTTCAAAAGGCCTGCTGACCGTCCAGACGAGTTCGGGGTCTTGGGAGCATGGGGGCGTGTAAGTGGCTTGCACCTGATATTGCACTTTTCGGCCTCTTCGGCTGCCGTCCGTGCTAATTACACTACGTACACTTAGCTCAAGGTGCTCTAGCCACGCTGTAGAATGAGGGAGGTCTATCGAACAAGCTCGTTTACGATAGCACGCTGAGAAGTTGATAACTGGCGTGCTGTAGGATCCCACAGTCATTTTTAGAAATCGATCCGACTATGACGACGCAAAATAGACAATGGAGTCGGGTGGCCGTCGGGCGGCAGAGATGGGTGGTCGGCTTGCAGACTTCATCGTCCAAATCGATTGACCCCATTTCTGCTGATTGATGTATCATCGAACGACCGCACGAATGGAACAGCGGTTTGCATGGGCTTACCCGGACAGGCTGTCATGAAGCCTAACCTTTGGTCATTCTTTGATTTCTGAAAAACATCGACTGGAGTTTTGGCGTAATGGCTGTCGGATAAGACAATAGAGCCAATCAGAGACGAGTATGAGGACAGTAAGCGATACCGTTGAAGTGTGGGAGCCCTTTAGGTTCGGCAATCTAATCTTCTCAGTAAGCGGCTGTGGGTTCGGCCATCAATCGTCATTTATGGTCGGTGGTCATCTGCAATGATTGATAGGAACGCACCAGCGTGGGCGTACTAGACCTTTATTATGGCTTGCTGCAAGGAAAGGGAAACTCCGCGAAGACGAAAGAAGCCTGGACCGTTCGATTTAAGAATTTTGAAATGTATATATAACAGTCATGTCCGTTGGTTGACAGAGAACGTCGTTCGTTGATTCATGGCAAAATCTAAGGAAGGAGGTAGAACGACGACGAGCATCGAAATAAAGAACCTGTTCTTCACCATTTGTGTCGTGCCTTCTTAGGAGATTTTTGGATGGCAAACTGCTCGTCGTCATCAATCGCGTAAACATGAGTAAGTGCTGCAAGGAATGCGCCCAACGATTGCACCTTTATTGCTCACATTTATAATAAGTTATTTCCTGCATACATTACAATTCTTGCTTAGAAAATAAAAGATCATTCGTCGACGCTAGTTTCAGCTACTGATTCCTGAGGAGTTGTGATGAAGGAACTCGAGTACCCAACGGCAACAAACACCGGGATGACCTCGCCTGCCAATAAGCTCAAACGAAACAAGAAGGAGTCCATCGACGCACCTGGCTGCGTCAAAACTTTTTGCTTGAATTGTTATCAACCAAGATGTATGATGGAGAATTGACACAATCTATATTAATACGCGCATCGGTCGCATGAAACTACTGGCTCACCCGGTCAAGAACGCTTAGTTAATACAAACGAATGTTCCTTTTCCTACTGCGTGCTAAAAATGTTGCTACAACGGACTACTTCGCGCCAGCTGATATTGATAACAAGACTAGCCAACAATGTCTGTAGCCTCGTAGAAACGTTTTGTTGTCAGATTGAGTTTCCTTGTGTACATCACGTGGAGGACGCCAACAAGCTCGCTCGATTCCGCTCTTGTTATTGGAGTATGAACATGTGTCTTTCAAAGCATCAGTAGAATTCTTTTCTTTGTAAAGACAATTACGTTGCTAACTATAGTCGCTGACGCCTTCAAGTATGCTCGATCTGTTTACCCTTAACGCGTAACACATGCTTTTCAAAGCATCGGTAGAGTTCTTTCTTTGCAAGAACGATTGCGCTCACAAAAATAAACAATCTTCTTCAACTCCATCTATCACACGTTTCAACAGTACAAAAGGACGCAGGTTTCTTGGTGTTGCGAACGTACAAGTAGACTTGTAGCAACAACGGTTATCGGCTATTTTAAGAAGATTGTATTGCTCCGCTGGTACGTGATCTACCGGTGAAATTGCTTCGAGACTTAACTTGAGTAGCCGTAACGTGATGTGCTGCCTCCACCTCTTGCTCACTGTAAGAAATTTCTGCTCAAATTCTCGAGATCTACTGCTCACTGACTATGAGCAAGAAGCAAGCTAAACAAGTAACATCACATATTTCTAACACAAGGCAGTTCCACAAATGACTTGATCGGGAAACCAGTGCACGTTTTTATTTGTTGTCATCGGTATGCGGACCTGCCATTTGAATTGAAGCGCGCTCTACAAAGATATTATTTGTTGGTGCCTTCAGATTTATGCGAATTGCAACTCTGAAGGTGCTACAATGTTTAACTTGGTAGTACTCATACAGTGCATCATGCATGCTTACTGATATTGATGTGGGCCTCTGACTAAATGCAGCTGTAGTTTTCATCGAGTGGATCAAAAGAAAAATTCGAGTATCGGCGTAAACTTTTGCTCACAAATGAAGATTTAATTTTGGTGTCAGTGAGACAAAGTCTTCAGGAAGCTCTGTCGTACTGCATGCGCCAGGTGCCAACTCGTGTGTATCAGCCTCATCGTAGTTGTAGATCCGAACTAGACGACAACCCCTTGCCACCGTGTGTCATAAAATATCGTAGAGATAGAGTCTCAGCTGGACTTTATACACAGCTTTAGAGTTGGCGCAGTTTTACACACATTCCCTATCGACTAGTATTTCACCGTGCAGAGAGGCACTGCATAGCCACACAAATGTATCGTATTTACGAATCACTCGGACCATTATAATGACAGTCTCGTCACTACGGTGGTGGTGCCATCTCTTGCCATGCGGATAGCTAAGGACCTACAATCAAAGCTCTTAAAAAGCCGATAACCGTTGTTGCTACAAGTCTACTTGTACGTTCGCAACACCAAGAAACCTGCGTCCTTTTGTACTGTTGAAACGTGTGATAGATGGAGTTGAAGAAGATTGTTTATTTTTGTGAGCGCAATCGTTCTTGCAAAGAAAGAACTCTACCGATGCTTTGAAAAGCATGTGTTACGCGTTAAGGGTAAACAGATCGAGCATACTTGAAGGCGTCAGCGACTATAGTTAGCAACGTAATTGTCTTTACAAAGAAAAGAATTCTACTGATGCTTTGAAAGACACATGGTAATACTCCAATAACAAGAGCGGAATCGAGCGAGCTTGTTGGCGTCCTCCACGTGATGTACACAAGGAAACTCAATCTGACAACAAAACGTTTCTACGAGGCTACAGACATTGTTGGCTAGTCTTGTTATCAATATCAGCTGGCGCGAAGTAGTCCGTTGTAGCAACATTTTTAGCACGCAGTAGGAAAAGGAACATTCGTTTGTATTAACTAAGCGTTCTTGACCGGGTGAGCCAGTAGTTTCATGCGACCGATGCGCGTATTAATATAGATTGTGTCAATTCTCCATCATACATCTTGGTTGATAACAATTCAAGCAAAAAGTTTTGACGCAGCCAGGTGCGTCGATGGACTCCTTCTTGTTTCGTTTGAGCTTATTGGCAGGCGAGGTCATCCCGGTGTTTGTTGCCGTTGGGTACTCGAGTTCCTTCATCACAACTCCTCAGGAATCAGTAGCTGAAACTAGCGTCGACGAATGATCTTTTATTTTCTAAGCAAGAATTGTAATGTATGCAGGAAATAACTTATTATAAATGTGAGCAATAAAGGTGCAATCGTTGGGCGCATTCCTTGCAGCACTTACTCATGTTTACGCGATTGATGACGACGAGCAGTTTGCCATCCAAAAATCTCCTAAGAAGGCACGACACAAATGGTGAAGAACAGGTTCTTTATTTCGATGCTCGTCGTCGTTCTACCTCCTTCCTTAGATTTTGCCATGAATCAACGAACGACGTTCTCTGTCAACCAACGGACATGACTGTTATATATACATTTCAAAATTCTTAAATCGAACGGTCCAGGCTTCTTTCGTCTTCGCGGAGTTTCCCTTTCCTTGCAGCAAGCCATAATAAAGGTCTAGTACGCCCACGCTGGTGCGTTCCTATCAATCATTGCAGATGACCACCGACCATAAATGACGATTGATGGCCGAACCCACAGCCGCTTACTGAGAAGATTAGATTGCCGAACCTAAAGGGCTCCCACACTTCAACGGTATCGCTTACTGTCCTCATACTCGTCTCTGATTGGCTCTATTGTCTTATCCGACAGCCATTACGCCAAAACTCCAGTCGATGTTTTTCAGAAATCAAAGAATGACCAAAGGTTAGGCTTCATGACAGCCTGTCCGGGTAAGCCCATGCAAACCGCTGTTCCATTCGTGCGGTCGTTCGATGATACATCAATCAGCAGAAATGGGGTCAATCGATTTGGAAGCCGACCACCCATCTCTGCCGCCCGACGGCCACCCGACTCCATTGTCTATTTTGCGTCGTCATAGTCGGATCGATTTCTAAAAATGACTGTGGGATCCTACAGCACGCCAGTTATCAACTTCTCAGCGTGCTATCGTAAACGAGCTTGTTCGATAGACCTCCCTCATTCTACAGCGTGGCTAGAGCACCTTGAGCTAAGTGTACGTAGTGTAATTAGCACGGACGGCAGCCGAAGAGGCCGGAAAGTGCAATATCAGGTGCAAGCCACTTACACGCCCCCATGCTCCCAAGACCCCGAACTCGTCTGGACGGTCAGCAGGCCTTTTGAAGCCTACCGTCTCTTTCGCAAGCAGCTACTACAGAAGCTGCAACGTGGGCACGTATGTCCTGCTGAGTGCAAGTGGATCCACGCCGTGGTGAAGAACCACTTTCCAAAACCAAATTTGCTGCCCATCTACTCTTCACGTCTAGTTGAGGCGCGGCGTCTCGCGAGAATGATCCAGGCGTCACTAGTCAACCGAGGCAACCAAGGTTGCAACGTACTGGTACACAGCGTATGTCATGCGTTCACGACTTTTATTGTCGGTGACAACATCAAGCTGCCGGATGCCATCATGACGATGTGCGAGCGCGGCTCAGACCAGAGCACCCGGGATTCATCCACGTCCCTCATGTCAGGATGCAGTGACGAGGCGTCCAGTTCCGAGGACGTTTCACCCGAAGGTCGTCGCAAACACGAGAGTGGTAGGAGACACTGTCAGTCCGAATCAGGGCAGTGACTTCTTTTGAAGAGTCGAAATTAAATGGACCGCAGTTTATCCGCACGTAAAGACCAACTGTAAGCGTAGTCGGTACATCGAAGAGCAATGTGCTGCCAATATGAATTATTATGAACCATCGTCACGCAAATGTAACGCGAGTCTAACCTCTCGTCGATGCCAAGCACTGAATACGTTTCACCGTGATGATCAGTCTGAGCGCGTTTTTTTAATACATGCCACTA